GCAGCGAGAGGTATCGGGCGGCGAGGTCCGTCAGCGAGTCGAGCACTGCCGGTCGCGTCGAGTGGTAGCCCGTCGAACGGAGGATCTGAAGTATGGAGGGGCGGAGGAGCGCGTGGAAGAGGGAAGGAGGCGTCGTCATGATTGAAGATGTTCGTCTTGAGCGGTAATTGTAATCGTCGCGAAGGAAAAGAAAAGCTCGGTAGAGGTCGATAGGTGGATGGTGGTGCTCTACTCGTCGTCGCCTCGTTTTCGCCGTGTCTGAGTCTGCGCCTTCATCGGGTTCAAATCTGGAGTCTCGCAGCAGCGCATGTCCGACCCAAGCGCTGTGGGATCGCTCCTGCTCTAGCGATTATGAAGCTATTCGCGGTAAAGCTCTTTATTGGTGTTGGTGTTGCATGTGTTTGAGCTTGGGGAGAGAAGAGCTTCCATCTCATGGACCCCAACGAGGTTCAGCCTGGCTGAGCCTAGCTAGGGAAAAAGTGGAGACCCTCACACCTCAGAAATATCTTGTTAAAGAAGGAACATTTTTGGTGGCATTGATGTAGGCATTGTAGTTAGGTATTCAAACACAATCTTCATTTATTATCCAACCTCTTTCAATTTCAATTTCAATCATCCGTAATCTTACAATCACGCGACAGTTACAACTCCTACACAGTCTTACATGGTCAACTTGCCAGTCTCCTTCTCAAGCTTGGACTCATCCGCAACACCACTGTACTTGTTGATCCAATCCAGCACCTCTCTGTGCCATACCAGCGAGTTTTCGGGCTTTAGCACCCACTGCAAGAAAGTCAGCAACCAGAATCAACCCCATTTTCCATATAGATACTTACGTGGTTCTCGTCAGGGAACATGACAAACTTGCTGGGAACTCCTCGCGCCTGGAGTACATTGAACATAGCCAGTCCCTCCGAGATGGGAAGACGATAGTCGAGTTCGTTGTGGATCACCTATCACAGAGTAAGTATATACAAGAAACCACAGGGGGGATACTCACCAGCTGGGGGGTCGCCCATTCTCCAGTGTACAGAGAAGGATCCCACTGTGCATATCCGGCCCTATTGTCCCAGAGCGTTCCGCCAAAGTCATGCTCAGGGAAGAACAGCTCTTCGGTCGACCACTGGTTCTGCGTAGAAAAGACACCGTCGTGGCATACCAGGGCCTTGAACTTGCGTCCGAGGTCGTGGCCCTGCACCCAGTCTGAATTCGTGTTAGCACTGCAACATCTACACGGACACGACAACTTACTGATCATGTATCCGCCATATGACGCTCCCAAGGCAACAGCTCGGTCCGTGTCGACATAGTCCATCTGGTTTTCGATATACTCGAAACACTTGACGAGATCATCGTACGGAGCACCTCCCCAATTGTTGGCAATAGCATCAATGTGGGCTTGTCCGTAGCCAGTGCTGCCCGTCGGATTGGGGCACACCACCACGTATCCTTGTTCGGCAAAGATAGCCGGGTTCCAACGAGTGCTCCAGTCATCAGTCCAAGCAGACTGCGGTCCTCCGTGAATCAAAAAGGCCAGAGGGTACTTCTTGGATGAGTCAAAGCTGGAGGGCAACATGACCAAGGCGTGGTTGTCATAACCAGTCGATCCAGGATACCAGATCTCGGAACACTGAGACTTGGACAGGCCAAAAGACTTTCCGTTCTTAGAACTAGCCGAGACCACCTTGACCGACTTGGTCTCTGGGTCAAGTACACCGTAGCTTGAGCTTTCAATCCGGGACTTGGATGTGATGAGAAGAGAATCACCATCTCCCAAAAGGTGGGCTTCGACGACAGATCCATCCTCGTGGATAGGCTCTGGGAGCTCCCGGGCCTCAAGGGGATCAGAAGGTAGCTTCCAAAGAACCATTCTTCCGTGCTTCTCGGCCGCGACATACAGCACCTTGTCGTCTTTCCTCCAGATTGCCCAGTCCGGCCTGAGATCCCAGCCACCCTCGTCATCATCCGTCTGGTAGAACTCTTGCACGTTGCTCAAGTCAGTAATATCAGGGATCAACAGCAGCCTCGTTTTGTCAGACTCGTACTGCTGGTGCTTCATCCTGGCGAATACAAGCTTCTTGCCATCGTTGGAAAAGGAGGGGGCCACGCTGTAGCCTCGTAGAGTTCCAGTGTGGACGATTTGAGGAACAGGAGGCTTATCGAGCCAAGACTTGAGAGGCACATAGTAGAGATCAGTCTTTGTGTTTCTCGCAGGGTTCAGCTCGGGGTCCTTAGACACAAAAGCAATGCCTGAGGCTGAGATATCAAAGTCTCCGGCACCACCAAAAGGCGGCACAGGACAGCTCAGGCTAGTGCCGACCAGGAGGTTGGTAAGACCAGACTGCTCAAGAACCCATTTACCGTCCTTCTTGGACAGTACACCATACCAAAGCGAGTTCTGATTCTCACTGTTCCAGGCATCCCAGTGACGGACAAAGAGGCCTGTGTAGATCTTGACCGAGGTGTGAGTCTTAGTCTCGGCTGCAGGCCAGTACATGTCTCCCTTGGGGGTGGTCAAGGCGGAGCAGCAGAATGCAACCTCATGGTGAGAGATGGACTTGGCCTTTGGGTTTGCGATGCTGCCAGCAAAGCAATGGATCATGTGTGGGCTTGAAGTGGTGTTAGTCCAGTTCACTAAGATGCTTGAGTGGAGGGGTCCTTACGCCGACTTGTCAAAGACGTGCTGGGAGTACAGCATAGAGCACCCATTTTCACTAGTCTTGATAAAGGCAATCTCATGCTTGCCAATCCAGATAGGGTCGCTGGCAGCCGTGTCCTCAGAGATGAGGTGAGAAGAGCCATCCTTGATGCTGAGAACACGGATCTGAGAAGACTTGGCGTGCTTGTCGAACGAGTAGGACGAGACCTGGACGCGTCAGCAAATAGAGTGACAGCAGAACGGCGGAATTGAAGCCATCGTCAAGGCTTACGTACCGTGTAGAGGACAAGCTCGCCGGTGGAGTTGGGGACGCCGGTGGAGCGGCGCGGGGCCGACAGCAACACCTCGGGGGTGAACCGGGTGGCCTGTCTCGTCATCATGGAGGACTATTGAGGGAGAAGAAGTGATAGTATGGTTATAGGATAATGGAGCATACAACAACAGTGTATGCGAGGAAGAAAGAAGAATACGAGGCTGAGTGATGAGAGATGTTGTTGGAACTGTGCCCCGTTGAAACATCCATCATAGGTAGGTAAGAGGTACCTTGCCCCCTCTCTTACCTTACCTACTCCTCATCACCACCGCCCGCTCGGCCCCTCTCTTCCGTCCATGCCAGCATCAGCCGCCCGGTAACGTGAGATCTCGTGTTTTGTTTCAGGATCAAGCGGTTATGTTTACTTGTACAGATATTCCTCATCAATCCTCTCTTCCATATGAGATACCTATTATCAGGTACCTATCCAGTCATTAACATCATTCCCCTTGTTCCCGACTCTCTCTCTCCTCTTAATGCAAGACCCCGCATTACATCCGTCGGCTCAACGAGCCTCGAGTAACCAGCAAGGTTCAAGCTCCAGGGAGCGGGGTGGCGTTACCAGCGCCATCATGATCCGCGTTGCTTCAAGAGCTAGCTCCTCACTCTCCCCCAGTTTGGAGCTCGCTAGCTCCATCTCTAGCTCTTGACAACCCTGTTGCCGGGTGGTTGGTACCACGTTCGTTCCATTCCCAACCTCCACGGGGGCACGGGAGCATGGGATAAACTTGAAGCATCAAGCATTCTCTTGATAAAGTCAGACCTCGGTAACTTCATTCTGACCGCCTCTACTAGACTATCACCAATCATGTCCCTGCTAGTGCCATTACGGCTTCAGATTCGCGTCAATCAGATCTCTCCACTGTGAATTGTCCTCTTTAGTTGCAATAGACAATGCATTTATAATGCCCAGGTTACACTCTTTCAAACCATTATAAGGATCAATAAGTGTCGCGTGACACTATCCACAAGAGGCAACTCGTTCAAAAGTCGCTCTTGGGCATCTAGCTATCAAAAACTGCCCTTCCAAACGCCGATTCAAAGCCGTGATTCCACTTGAATTCCAAAACTCCAAGCCATATCCATTCTTACAATCACAATACCATCAACACTCTACCTCCGCTGCGCTCCAAAGTTTGTCCGCTTCTTACTCGCCGCTGTGTCGTTCTCGCTGTCCTCATGGTCCACCGTCTTCTTCTTCGACTTGTTCGCGTTCTTACTAGCAGTTGCCGATGTCGGTGTCGGGTGGTTCGAGCCTCCGTCTCTGAACGCGGCCGACGAGGGTGTTGCGCCTGAAGCTGGCGTTGAACCTCCTGATCCAGGAGCGATACCTTCCAAGTTGTTCGGTCGGTACGAGATGGATGATCTTGAAAACACTCGGTTCTGTTCCATGGTTCCAGCCTTGCGACGCTGTGCCGCTGCGCCACTAGTTCCCTTCATGTAGTTGTCGAAGCCCGTGATGATGTTGCCGCTCGGTGTGCTGTCGAGGTACGCGGTTTCCTTCTGGGCGATGCCGTCTTCAACCTGCGTCTATCCAAGAGTTAGAAACAAGCGCTTGTCACAATCATTAGCGATTCAGAACTCACCAAGCGCCTCTCAAGAAGCCTGCGCTTCTCAACAAGATCCCGCACTCGGGCTTGCGCCTTCTTGTATTCGGACATGGTCACTTGCCCGGCCCCCGATCCAACAGCGTTTCCAGCCTTCCTTTCTGCCATCCACTCAAGCTTTCAGACGGGGTCGATTCGTTCAGATCGGTATCGCAACGCGCTGATGAAATGCGACGCAGTTGAAAGTCGTGTTCAAGAAAGGAAATCAAGTTAGGCTACCTCCGGTTGAAATCGCGGGGCGCGGCTGAGGACGCGGCTAGGGGCGCTTGCGCGTCAATGGTAAAGTGGGCCATTGCGCTCGTGTTTGGACCACCCATGTAGGTAGGTACCCCATCACCAAAAAGACATGGAGGTATCTCAAGCATCCTTTTCCTCCTTCAAACACCAAAAAGATAATCTCATGTGTTGCACATGGGGCGAACTCTCCCGCCGGGAATTGAACCCGGGTCTCAAGCGCATTGTTTTTGACAAGCTTGCATACTGACCACTATACTACGGAAGATGGTGGTTGTGCGCAACCATTGTAGCGCGAGTTCGGTGTCACGTGGACCTCGGAATGGTGTCTATAACCTCTGTCCTACCTGCACGGGAGATGCTGCAATCCATGTAAGAGGTAAATACACAAGCATTTCCCAGTCAGCGATTATCACAACGTTCCAAAAAATCATGTTCTTTTATTTATTACTCTAGAGAAAACCCATTCTGCTTTTGTCCCAATCCCGCCCTGTTCACGCCCCAACCCGAAACACTATATATACCTACCTACCAAGCCACGAGTAATCGATGTAGAAAGGATACCACTGAGCAGCACTTGCGTTGTTGTTAGCTTCGATCCCTGAAGAGATGATCGCGGATGGTTCTCATCTTTCCTGCCATGGGCATTCATGGATGGCCGTAATTGGCAAGGATTCTACCGCTGGCTATCGATGACGAGAATCAGCGCCTTTCCCTTTTCAAGATGTTCATGCCCAGACTAACCTCTCGTCAAGTAGATGCCGCTGGTTCTGCCTCGGGCTTGGTTGGTGGGGCACGAGATCCATCTTCAGAAACATCAGCTAACTTGTCTCTGGCCCTTGAGCGTGAAGAAGCTGAAGAACTATTGCGTCGTCGACCGCTGGGCGATTCCCGTCTCTTCGCTTGGCGTTGGCCACGCCGCCCAGGGCTGGGTCGCCTTTGTCGGCGTCGATCGTCCTCTACCTCCGAAGAGTTGTCTCTTCGACCTCTGCCTTTAGACTTTCGGTCGTGTGCCGCACTGCTGGAACGGGTACGACTGCGGCTACGGCTGTAACTGGGACTGCGACCTCGGCTCCGGCTTCGGCTACGAGACACAGAAGTCCCCCTGGATCTTGAAGAAGACATGCTCCTTGAACGACGCCTCCGGCGATCTACCGATCGGCTTCTTGAAGAAGAGTATCGTCTTCGCTTTGGGGAAGGAGAACGTCGCTCGGAGGATGCAGAGCGAGATGCAGCAGCTTTACGTCCTCCATCAGTTCGACGGTTTGCTCGGCCTCGGTAGGTGTCGCCTCCGGGCGATCGTGATCTCTTTCGCCCGTCTCTTCGTCTTCCGGGTGATGAGGGTCGCCGCCGACTGTCAGATTTGTTTGTGCTGCGCGACGCACTACGGCCGCGCGAATTCGATCGAGATGAGCCGGATGCTGAAGGCGATCGAGCAGGGGACCTTCGTCGACCAGGTCCAGCTCTACCGCCACCGCGCCTCCCACGAGGGACGTAACTGTCGCGACCGTAGGAGTCCCTCGAGTCGCGGAAACGGGGACCCGGAGATCGAGACCTCCCACCTCCTCTCCTAAAGCCTCCTCTTCCTCGGTTATCAAATTCGCGGTCGCCTCGTCGCCCTTGCCAGGTATCTCCACGAGCTGATGCTCGGTCTCGACGATCGCGATCTTTGAGGTCGGCTACTTCGCGATCACGGCGATCCCACTCATCTCGCCTCTTCTTGGCGCTCTCTGCGGCACGATCGGCTTCAATCTGTAGAAAATGCGAGTTAGAATGGAGATATGCAAATGACTGCCGTCTCAACGTACCTTTTCCTGGATGAGCTCCAGCTTTTTAGCTTCGAGGAGCTCCTTAGGCACGCCTTGAGGACTGGCCTGGGCGCTCAACAGCAATCTCCATAGATCTTTACAGAAAGCCGCTGTATCTTTATCGAGGAAGCCCGTGAGTTGGATCTGGAGTGACTTGATGTCTGGCTATCGGCCAAACCATTAGCATGCGCTCGAGGTAGATCAGCAGAGGTTAGTCATACGTATCGCGGGCCTTCGATTAAATTGAAGCAAAGCTCAATCACTACGTCGTCTTCATTCCCAAGGATATCGGATATCTTGCCGGCGATCCATCTGGCCAGACACGTTAGCACGGGGATCAGAAGCGCGACAGAGCTTGGGGCACTCACTTCTTCATGACCTGGAGATTGACCTTTTGCATATCAACCTTCTGGCTAAACTCGGGCGGGAACTTGGTCGACTTCAAAAGCCGCGCATCCACTCCGGTAGCCATGTTGGGTCGAATCGCAATGTCAATGTCTGTGTCGAAAGGGGCGCGTTGTTGGGAAAAAAGCTGCTACTGGGATGAAAAAGTGACGTCGCTGAGCACAGGCTCGAGTCCACGAGACAGACAGCGGAGGCAGCGCCGTGGTCGGGTGGTGCACGGACCACTTTATTCACTGGGTTTGCACGGCAGGAGCTCCCTCCTTGATAGCCTGAGAAGCTGAGCTCCAAACAACAACAGGCCTGCCCCGCAGGCTTTCTAGGGGAGTTTGCGCTGTGCAACCGCTGAAGCCTTTACAAAGGCACGTCACCAATCGCAGCCTGGGATGAGATCCATTTCCTATTAAACATCCATCTCGTGTTTGTCACTGATTGTCTGTCCGAGTCAAAGACTACCTCAAGATGAGTACTCTGCACGCCCCGACTGTGCCCTCTGGGGAGACCAGCGCTTCTATTACCAACGGCGATGCGGGGCATCTGAGCTTCGCCGAGTTGGAGCGAAAGAAAGATGATATTGAGGCCGAACTCAAGGCGCTCGGCGGAGTGCTTGACTCGGTACCTATGTTCAACGCTTGAGCCTACAGTATCATGTACTAACAAGAAACTCAGCATGGCGTGGACATGAACACACCTCTCTTGACCAGAGATGGATTTCCTCGTGCAGACCTTGATGTTGCTCAGAGTATGGCTTCCAAGTCATGCTTAACATCTCCCAACTAATCATTCCACAGTTCGAACCACAAGGGCCAGAATAATCCGTTTGAGGAACGATTACACGGCACTCATGACCAGGATTGAAAAGTTCCTGCATGAGCATTTCGCCAGCCTCGATGAAAACGATGCCGAGCCAGCTCCGAGCTCTGGCACAACCCAACCCGTTTTGCCAGACTCTTATTCCGCACCCTTGGACCCTCCGTTTGCCAAAGTCAATACCGTGGCCGCAGGAAGTCCGGCAGAGAGCGCAGGCCTGAAGCCTGGTGATGAGATCCGTAACTTTGGCTACGTCAATCGGGCCAATCATGACAACCTCAAGAAGGTAGCAGAGTGTGTTCAGGGAAATGAAGGAGTGAGTGGTCATGATGCCGTAGCAACCCGAGCATGCCAGCTAATCATGCGCCAGAGCAACATTTTTATCAAGGTATCCCGCTCAACAGGCGTGGCAGAGCAGCAAGAGCTACGCTTGACTCTGACCCCGAGAAAGGACTGGGGTGGTCGAGGAATGTTGGGCTGTCATATCCTGCCTCTGTAGGCATGAGCAGGCAATGTACGCGATGACAGGCCAAAGGAAATTTGCAAGGCGAAATATGACCTCGATTGAAGATTTGCTCACGTAATGTACGATTAGGTAACATGATAACAACGATGCAAAAGGCAGTCTCCATGAGCATTATTTGACCCAACATTGGGAGCCTAATGTGTTGTCTACTTTGAGTTTGATGTCCCAGTGAATTGATGCCAAGTCAACAGCCACGATAGGCACCTTACATAAGGCATCGCATCGCGGCGCAGTTGATGATTACAAAGCACCTTGGAAGTTTAGACATCAACGTAGAGGTTGAAGGATGCTTGGCACTCCTATCATGATGTCGATATTCATGTGTTGGTGATATGACAGACAAAGACAAGGTGGCCAGGGACAAGTAGCGACCGATTGAGTGACATGCCGTTTATCAGATGTTCAACAAGACAACCCAGAGCGTAGTGCTAATAGTTACCTTGGTAGGTAAACCAGCATAAATTGTATCAACAAGCCGATGACCGAAGCTATGAAGGTGAAAAAGTGAGGCAAGCGTAGACATGACGGATGAAAGATTCTCATTTCACCTTCCTGTTGATGGCACTAGGAGAACCCACGTGTGCAGAGAAAGATGAACTCGCTGGCAAGGCCTAGACGCTCTTGTTTCCGATAAGGTGATGATTGCGGCCAAGCACGAGATCTTCGAATCAAACTCTCGAGATTGCCTCTACGATTGCTACCTAAAAGCTGCCTAGAGACCCCCTACCCGGAAAAAAAAAGAAGCTGACTAAACACATGCAAGCAAGTAAAGATGGCAATATCCCGAGCAGCCGCCGCTGGACCGATCTACGATGACAAAAGGAAAGACGAGCTGGGCAAAGCTGCCGATAGACCGCCTGAAATGTCACCTTACATGGATGGATTTCTTTGTTGGGAGCGAGCAAGGCCTGGGCGGCCCAACTGAGGATAGGAGCAGAGGAGGTACCCAGTTCTGTAGTCAGACCCAAGGCACCAGCAGGCAGCCCGGCGCACCGCCCGCGGAGCAAGCCGCAGCGAACAGGAGAAGGCGTGCGACCGAGTCAACTCGGCGGTGCCCAATGACAAGAGTGGAATGTTCCAGGCGGTGACGGCGATAGCAGGCCATGGTGACGCTGAATCGCTGGCAGTGAGTGGGCAGCCTTTTCCGCCGTCATGGATCCGTGCTGCAATATCACGTGCAGGCAGCCCACCCTTGGGGCGACTGAATTTTTCGCTTTGAGGCCCTTCCCCTGCCCAAAGAGTTCCCCGCCGCCTTCAAAACATCAGGTTGACCAGCTCTCTTTGAAAGTTCGTCAATCAACCTCGTACCCACCCCCAGCGACGCTCTCCAGGTATTTAGAGTCCCCATCTCCTCGCTCCCCTTGGACTCTCTTCCAGTTCATCACCCCGAACGACTCTCTCTTGCGCCGTGCCGCCCGCTCTGCACCCAGCTAACTCCCGCATCATCGCAGCACCCCGCTTGTTTACATCCTCTCCCACCTGTCGCTACAACACCACAGGCCCGACCATCAAGATGGCTGAGCAGCAGACCCCCACCTTCAAGCTCGTGCTTGTCGGCGATGGTGGTACCGGAAAGGTGTGTAGGATTCCATGACGCAGCGCCTCTTTCGCGATATCGTCGACGGTCGCCGAGCTTTCCCCCTCCGCCCTAGTCGAATCTCGAGAGACGTGGAGCGATCCCTTGCAAGCCATCAACATCGACTAACCATACTCCCTGACGAC